GGGGGGGGGGGGGGTAAAGAGCGAAGAAAGGATAAGGAGCAAGAGAAAAGAAAGAAAAAAGAAAAAAGAAAAAAAGAGGCAGAACAAAAAGATGCACGACTTCGCGTTTTCATCGCGCAGCATCCCAACTGTAAACGACGTAGAATATCCGGAACGTTGGTATATCGATAAGAGGACGAACCCTGATAGCGGGTGGCAGTAGGCACGGTGAATATTTCATGAATTTAATCAAGACGCAAGAAGTGGAACGCGACGTCGAGCGTCGGCCGGTCGCGTCCTAAAGAAACGACGAGGCACAGGGGCGTAGACACTCAAGATATTGGACGGGTATATATTAAGTATGAGAAAGGTTTTCTATAAAGGGACAACTGGCGGTACAGTCGTCTTCGACGTTACCCTTCCTTGGTATCTAGATCATCTTCATCATTTATTCTCACCTACTTACACCCTTAGTTAAGGGGATGAATTTCACGCGTACACCCTTCGCAGTTACGTTAAGCAGCTGGAACGAGTCAGGCTGCTTCTGGCATTTCTAACTTCTGCCAATTAGTTGAGCGTTAGGGACACATTCATTTTCAAAATTATATATTAAAATTTGTCCTCGACTTGTATGTGGCTGACACAATTTTTTAAATTAAATAAAAAATTTCTTATCCCATATACACGTGCATACCGTTCGTGTCTCGAATAATCCACACACGTCGTTTCTCCTTCTCGACAGTAGACAAATAACTTGAGGATGCTTTTTGCCATGGCTGCTCACCGCGAGTATTAGGTCGAGTTCTTGTTGCGACAAATGCGGTTATATTTTACGCAAATACCCAGAAACCCATATCTGACAATGAATTTGAATTAGAACGACGAAGGGGTCGGTACAAAGGGCACTGTAATCCTGTATGCTGGTGGAAGATCGAAAAGCTAACCTATAAGGATCTGCATTCGTTTCACACAATGTTTCCTTCGAGTTTTTTAGCTCGAACGAATATTTGTTTTTTTTTTTTTATAATGATATATCGTATAAGAATAAATGAAATCGCGTACTAGCAAATAGTAGTATATTATTTGACATATAAGAAACAGCAAGCTACGATTTGATATCTGGTAAAAGTACTTTTGACATATCGTTCGATCCCGTGCACAATTCTCAAATGGAAACTGTCGCGTGAATGGAAACTGCCGTATTTTATTCATTGTCAGTATTGTTTTCCCCTATGTCAAAACTGACGTTTTGAATTACAGGATTCTCATAGATATAACTACCAGTATGGAACTATACAATGTTCACTGTTGAGTATCAATAAATTAATTAGTACAATAATTAACGTTGAACTGTGATAAGAAAATGATAAGAATATCGGCAGGTCAATAATTAAGAGGCCCAAGATATTTTCTTCGGGTTTTCTGTCCTGTAAGTCAGCAAGTTGAGAAAATAAGTGGCTGCCTGAGACCAAGTACGAGATACGGAAGAAAATTAATAAACAAAAACTACAATAAATGTATATTCAAGCCAAAAAGTAAATGCTCGTATAAATTCTTCGAAATTAACGAGTCGACTTTTTTTTCAATCAAGCACAAAAATGATTTTAAAATTAATGAGTTCACTTTTTTTCTTCTAACGAGTCAAGCACAAAAATTGCCAACATTCTTCAATTATTTTGCAACGCGTTCCATTCCGTCTGAATGCATCGTAATTTCGTTATTCAACTTCAAAAGGAACATCTATACCTATATTTCCCATTAACGTTCTTCCTTCCTCATTTCCACGTAAAGCAATACTGCCAAACGTCGTGAGGTCCACCAAACGCTTTATAAACTACGTTCAGCAAATTTTCGTTACATTTTTATCAGGGACCTAAGGTCTAAATCTTGCTTCGTTATATTCTGCTTCGACAAATTAACCAAGAATTACATCCTATTAGGATTTCTTTCTTTGTTCTTTCTGGGACAACCGCATACCGAATTGCTCTGGCTTCTCCATAACCTATGCCGTTATCTGCAATAGATAAGGAAGCTACATAGGATAGATAAGTAGATAGTCAGATAAACAGAGTAGCCCCTGAACATAGGCAACCGTCGCATTAGCACAGTAAGACAGATTGCTACGAAACAGGGTCAACCATAGATCCTACGTACATGGAGAATACACGTTCACAATTCGATTTCCAGCAATCCGTACAATCCTGTTTGACTTTACTATCGTGACTCTAGCCCTTTACTGACTTCCCGACGTGAGAGCTTGGATACTGGTCGAAAAGGAAAAAAAAAAAGAAAAAAAGAAGAGAATCTGTCAAGGAAGAGTAGGATAAGAGTTGCCGCGGCGAGATCGATTCGACTTCGAGACTCCCGTTTCCGTTAAAAAGGGAAATTAATCAAATGAAATTTCCTGGAGTAATTTCGTTAATACCCATCCAGATGGGTAAAGTAAAATTTCGTTTGGTTCTTATCCAGCGGATAACCCATTTGAATGTAATTTATCATTTGAAAATTCCCGCGCTCTCTTTTTCTTATTATTTATCGAGGTGCTTTTTGCATATATACATCCATATTACACCTATTGTTGCCATTTCGTTGTCCATGTTTATTGCGAAATACTACTGCGATCTCGTAACGAGATAACGATGAAAATGGAGACGATTTATTACGAGCAAGAGTAACAACGTCTTTCTACCAACAGGATCTCCGTATCTTGCACGCAGCTTTATTGCGTGATCGTATACATAGGAAAAGGTTTATGCGACGTGCCGTAGAGAGAATACAAGAAAATATATATGAAAGGGAGACAGTTGAGTTATCTTACCGCAGTCATAGTTCAGTGTCTCATAAATGTCCTCGAGTAAATTGTAATTCTCCTCGTTCTCGACATTGTACAGGAGCTTCTCTCTGTAACACGGAAATAAAAGATTGAATAAAATCAATCAAATTATCATTCAAAGTGGCAAAATCGTAACCCGCCTATATCGAACTTTTACAAATTACAGCGGTAGGCACGGACGCAGTTGGCAAGACGCGAAGATCAAAAAACGGCCATCTTGTTCCAATTCGCACAATCGGTTGGAAACAATCAAGCAGCCATTGTTCCTACCGGATTGCATCGATCCGAGAGAATTATTAATGGATCCATATAAATCAGTCGGGCCCGTGTCTGCCTCAGGAAATTGTATCCTTTGAACTGATCGAAAGATCGTATTAACTCGGGTTTCCGCAATATGGCCGGCCCATATATTTTCTTGTTTCATTGATTATGGTATACCTGGCTATATGTATACATATACAGGGTGTTCCGAAATTACCTGACCAACGGGGTATGGCGGTGTTCGGGAGGCACCTTCCGGAGCAAAAGGAAGGTCATTTTCGTGATCAGTGGTGTCTCCCGAACACCGCCATATCCCGTTGGTCAGATAATTTCGGAACACCCTGTATACACACACCGAGAATGTGTTAACGAAATAGAAAATATATTTCTCTCTTTTTTTCTCTGAAAATGTAGGCCACGTCAGCCACCTGATTTGGCGAATAACGGAGCGTCGATAATGTAGATGCCGCTTGGTTACCGACTGAGCGAGAAAGAACACGGCCAGAACAAACGATCTGTCAACAGTGCCGAAGTCTGGTCAGAAGCGTCGGTAATTCTTCGGGAAGACCCTCGGACCGAACTCGGATGTTATTTCCGAGGAAACGAAGGGATTTGTCTGCTAGCTTTCTGGATCGTATCCTTACGTCATAGGAGGGTTTGGAAAACTTATGATGGTGCCTGTCGTTCCGTGAATTCTTATCACGCTATCAAGCGTCCCCGGCGGCTTAATGGAACCTATAATTCTCTTCCGACGGTTTGACCTTATCATTCTACCGAAGAATATTATCGCGCAGCTATCATGAACAATGGTTTGATAATTTTGTCATTAGGCCGATGTAAGGGCGCAACGGCTGACTGTATAATAACATTCAATTATAAATGTTCAACCTGAGGCAATGTGGCTGTTCGATACTTACAGAGACGCCGAGGTCGATAACGGCATTTCGCTCTTGTTCAAAAGGGCTCCCAGGGCTACGGCTATTACTTCGTTCTGTAAGCATAACAATGGTTTATGGGATTATGTTTAAATATCATTTGGATTCCATTCTTATTATGATGGGACTGAAAATTTTCGTTGTATTTTCTTTGGGTTCTAACCTGTGTTTCTTAACGTTTTAACGCTAATTTAATACTGATTAGTTCACAGCGACACTACGCAACCTTCGAAGGAAAAGAATACCGTGAAAGACAATGGGGTGGGAGGGCGGGGGGGGGGGG